TAGATTTTACTTCAAACTACTCTGCCAATGGCATCTTCACCCTTTCAAGCTTAGAAATTGCCACATGTCTGCCTGTTCATACACAGAAAAACTGGGTAATACAAAGCCCTGTGTCTCCAGGGCATTACTTGGCAGGCATGGGTTTGAAACCTGTTTTGGGTCCATTTTTGCACATGTGGCTGGCATCTGACCACATAGACAAGGGTTTTCTCCTGGAGTGCGATCAAAGTATGATCTGAGATGCTCTCCATGTATAAAGAATTTGTGGTAAAGTAAGTTTGGAGTATAAATACTGTACACTTACATGCCATTGTTAAAGTTTGTAAGTATACTGCTGCCTGGGATGTAGCTCAGCAGCAGACCGCCTGCCTGGGTAAGCATGAAGCCCTGAGTTTGATCTCCAGTATCCCTTCCCTGCAAAAAAACAGTATTGTGTAAGCGCACGGCTATCCTACAAACTTTGATAATTTAAAGGAAAAGCACAATATAATGAGTTTAAAATGATGAAGAGTTAATGTACAATCTTTTATTTACATGTTTTTCACATTTTTGATAAAATATAAATGGTAGGAAGCTATGAAGAGATATGGTCAGATTTGTTATCTCAGGAACTTTTCACTCAGGCCAGAATGCCATCATTCAGTTTTGTTTGTTGTTGTTGTTTTTTTTTTTTTTTTTTTGTCTTTTTCGTTTTTATTGGTACCAGGGATCGAACTCACAACTGCCAAGGCAGGCGTTTATGCCGCTGAGCTAAATCCCCAGCTCCAGTTTTGTTTGTATTTTGAGACAGGGTCTCAACTATGTAGTTCAGGTTGCCTTTGAACTTGTTATGTATGTAGTTCAGGCTGGCCGCAAATTTGTAGTAATCTTCCTGCCTCAGCCTTCTGAGACTGGGATTATAGGAGTGTATCATCGTGCCCTGCTCATTATCCACATTCTTAAAATTATCTCCTGTTATTAGATTTATTTCCTCAGATTTGTTTTCTCATTTTCTTATTTTTTATTATCACTGGGGACAAGGTCTGCTGTTACCCAGGTTGGTCTTGAACTCTCAACTCAAGTGATTCTCCTGTCTGTTTCCTAAGTAGCTTAGTTTACAGACAAGTGCTATTGTGTCTGATTATCATTATTTGTTATTAAAATCCTTTATACCTACCCTTTATAAATAATTGAACAGAGAAAATTACTTTTTCTTCATGACTGAGTATACTAATATCTGTAATAGCTACCATTTTATAGGACTTATTTTTACATTATTTATTGAGCACTGGGTTATTTTATGTGTCTGAATATTTCATATGAATCAGACCACTTTCTCTTAAAATTTTAAATATATTTTAATTAAGTATGTAGCTCTGCAGAGGCTAATTAAAATATGTAAATATTATTCAAATGACATACTATGGGGCAGGGGATTTTAGCTCAGTGGCATAGATGTTTACCTGGCAAGTGTGAGGTCATAAATCTAATCCCTGGTACCAAAAAAAAAAAAAAAAAAAAAAAAAAAGAAAAAGACTAGAAAGATGTACAATTTTTTAGAATTAGCATCATGATGGAATCAAAGGTTAGGAAACAAAAAGAAACTCAAACAATTTTGAAAAATTTAAGACACTAGCAGTTATCATGACCTCTAATTTCTATATTCTGCATTAAGAAACTACCCTCACATACTGACTGGTAATAGAATACTTTTTTTGTGTGTGTACTGGGAATCGAACTTAGGACTTTGTGCTTGCCAGGCAGGCACTTGTGCTCCAGCCCTAGTAGAATAAAGTGCCTTTGTCTAACATATAATTCATAAGTAAAATGAAACCATCAAAAACCTAAAATATAACAGTTTTAAACTGAGCTTAACTGGGAATGAAAAGTTTACCAGCTACATAAAAAGGGAGAAAATTCTGAGACTGGGTTTCTTTTGGTTTGCTGTAATGCTCATGCTTTCATTCCATGAACATCCATAGATGGTTTATTTTTTACAAGTCTCCAAGTTTGGCAATAAGGAATATAAGGCTGAATGGAAAACAGCCTATCTTGAAATTACAGATGATCCAGTAAAGGAGATTATAAAAACATAAATGCTTGTAATTATAATTAAGTAAAATACTCTGGCCAAAATCAAAGTACAAAGGGGGCAGATTACTTTCAATTGGAAGGAAATCATACTTACATTTTAAGTAAACATTAATAAATAGGTTTAGAATTTAGCTGTTAAGTAGATCAAAGGAGGCTGCAGACAAATGTAAAAGGGTTAGTCATTTTATTTACACAATTATTTACAAAAATTGAAGACGTTCCAAAATATAAATTTTCTTATCTCTTTAAAGGTTACTTTCTCTTAAAATACCAGCACTGACTTACTTCATTTAAAGTGCTAGCTAGTGGGCATTTTGCCATTCCTGTTGCTTGGCATTCGAGAATTAAATATTCTTGCAGAATTCATTATAAGCAATTGTAATGAAACTAGAAAGATTACAAAGAGCAGAGTGTAAACCACATCAAGATAGTCAAAGTTTCTTATGTTTTTTAGCAGATACATGCTCTTGAATGACAATGAGCTCATAAACAATCCATGTACTCTACTAACCTACAGTTGTCTCATCATTTGAAAGATGTATTGTACTTTTCCTATTGGCTTAGGATGGAACCAATAGGCAAAGAGAAAAGCTTTATAACTGCACAAAGGAATGCTGGCATGGTAAATGTTGGGTAAAGACTGCTTTTGTTCATTTGCTTTTGACTTTCAGAACTTTATGGTACTGATGTGTTTCTTTCATTACCAGTGTAAGCAATTTTAAAAAATGTTCAGCCTGGGCACTGTCTTGGTGCCTTGAAATATATGCTCTTCAGTGTAAGAACACTGTATTTCTTATTGTTCAGACTCGTGATGTATTTTTAACAGATGTTCAAAGGAAACTACAGTTAAAATACAAGTTTTTATTACCATGTCGAACATATTTCATATGAACACAATTATTATTAACTTGGTAGAACAGCTTGAGGTTTATAATAGGGTTCTTTCCCTTCAGAAGTGTCACATGCCACAGTTACTAGTCTTTTTTTAATGGCTGTTTAGAGGCAGAGTTAATGCTAGGTTCTCCACCAGCTGTTTATACCTTGAAATGCTGGGTTATTATACTTTGTTTTTGACCTTTAGTAAAAGGGTTAAAAGGTGCTTATATGTTCATTTTTTAACACAGGAACTCATGGGACCCCTAGTATATGTGCAGCCAAAATAAGCACACTCAAGGTAGCTCTAAAAGGACCTTTGTAGCTTTGCATAGGTAACTTTAGCAGAAAACTTACCATCCCAAGGTGTCTGCTTGCATCTTACTGGCTTCTAGAAAAACCACTAGAATGTTCCGAGTGTTCCAATTAGATCAACAGGAAGAATGCACTTACACTTTCCCCTAAGTTTTAGTTCAGTTTAAAGCTCTTGCTACAGCATGTCTCTTGGATGTAAAAGAATACTTCCTTTCGGGTGTTTCTTTTCTGTTCTGTGAAAAAATGGAGAAAGTGGAATCCGAAATAACTGCCAAGGCAGTACATGGGAAGGAAACAACAGGCAGACAAATGGACCCCTACTCTCAATCAGAAAGCCCGGGTGAAATTTTTTTTTATTACTCGGGAAACCTCGAACGTTTCCTGTCAGGACACCGGGAGAGCAGAGCTGGGAGAGAATAAAGCATGTCTGGGGACCGGGTAGTAACAGCGATCACCACAGCGAAGAGCACACGGTTGCTCCCCCGCCCCCCAATCTCGCTCCTCGGGGGCAGAAGCCGGGCCGCGGCCCCACGTGCGAGTGCGCGCGCCTTTGTGCTCACGCCCGCGAGATCGGCCAGCGAGTGGCGGCCGGGCGGCCTGGCTCCGCAGCGCGGCACCCCGGGTCCTTTTGTCTCCCCGCCCCGCAACGTGCCGAAGGGTCCCCTACATCCCTACGCAGCGACCTTGGGTTTGGGTTTTCCCACTTGGGAGCGTGACGACCGGGGCTCGGAACTGCTGAGGTTCAACAATTTGTGCTTGTTTCGGCCCAAATTCCGGTCCCGCGTCGCGTCGTTCCGCAGCGCCACATTCCCCGCGAGCCTGCCACCCTGAGGGCTTGCGCCTCCCGCCGTCCAGAGCGGGGGCCACGCCGCAGGCTTCCGGGCGAGCTCTCGCGGGTGCGGGCTCGGACGCTGCGGAACCCGACGTGCAGGGGCTTGCTGTCCCGAGGGAGCGGGAAAGTGGCGACGCCTGGGGCTCGGGCGGGCCAGGCGCCCTGGAGAGCCCGGGACACACGGGGCAGAGGTCGCGGCGCGGCGGGGAGGCGGGGGCGGCGAGCCACCTGGGCGACGTGGCAGCCATTGCCGGCTCCCGAGACCGCTCCCCACACGGCCGCCCACCCGCCCTCTCGCGGCTGGTCCTGCGAGGCTGCTCTTCCGCGGCCGGACGGAGAGCGGCAGTGTCTCCCTGCCCGGCGCGCTCGCCGCGAGTCTCCCCCCTGCGGCCGCGGCTGCTCGGCGACCTAGCCGCGCCGGAGAGCGCAGCGGCGGCGGGAAAGGGTTGTGGCCTCGCTTCGGCCCGGCCTCGACGCCCTCGCCCGCTCCGGAAGCAGGTAAAGGCGGCGGGTGGGAGGCAGGCGGCGGCTTGGGGTGAGGGGCCCGGTGGGACGGGATCCCGGGTCCCTGAGCCGAAGCTGAGGCCCGGAGGCAGCGGCGGGGGCGCTGCGAGCGAACGCAAAGCTCTGAGCGCGGCGACGGGCACGGGGTGCCTGGTCCCCGGGCCCAGCCGCCGCACAGAAGGGAAGGAAGCGTCGGCGAGAGGCGGGCCCTGGCGCTCCGCCACAGGCCGGCGAAGGCTCCCCGGCCTCCGGGCGCCTGGCGGGCCTCCAGGCCCGGGACACACCCCCTGCCCCGCGGCTCCCCCGCGCTCCGCCCGCACTTGCCCTTGCGCCCCGGGCGCCCGCCCGCCCGCGGTGTTTCCAGCGGAGCCTTCTGGGAACTTGAGGCCACCTTCCCGAACACGTAGTCCTAGCAGCGCTGCTTATTTACTCACTTCCCCAGACCCAAACACGCTGCTCCTCCGCACGCACGCTCGGATTGGGGCTGCCGCGAGGATTCGTTCCCTTTCTGGGTTTCGCGCGTCCTGATCCTCCTTCATTCCCTACTCCCGGTATGCAACTCTGAGCCTGCCGGGACCTTCCTGGAGCCGTTGGGCCTTCGGGACCCTCTCCCAGCTCTCGGCGTGGAAATCCAGCTTCATTGAGTGAGTCATCTCACCCGGGGGCAGTTTCTTTTTTCACGCGGTTTTCGTACTTATATTTTTTACCCCCCTTTAAAGAGAGGTAGAGGAATTAAAAAACCCAAAAGCGTAGATGCCAGATCGCTCTCTGCATTGGAATCTTCTTTAGGGCAACCACATTGAGAGCTCAGATCTGATATCTGTGGCCGGGACAGGTTTGTACACATTCTTGCCATGCAGTGGTTGTAAGGTCTCCATAGCAGAGTTCTGACTTGAGGGCAGGATTGGCTGGTTTTTCTACTCGACTTCTTTAAGCCAATCAAGAAGCGCGGCTTGCCTGGAGACTGGTTAACTCAGAAAAGGTGGAGATTGGCTGAACTCTCGAGCAGAAAATCCTGGAAGTGAGCCTGGCGTTTTAGAAAAAGATTGGCAGCTCTCTTTGCTCTTCCACTTAAAAATAAAAGAATATTTGTTGATGCCACTATCGACCTTTTTACGCACTTTTAAAAAAATTTTTTTGAGACAGAGCCTCGTTATGTATTCCGGGCTGGGCTCTTCGGAGTCTAGACTGGCCTCGAACTCACATGCTTCTGCCTCAGCTTCCCAAGTGTTGGGGTTACGGTTTTATACAGTGTTTTATTTGGCCTCGAACTCACATGCTTCTGCCTCAGCTTCCCAAGTGTTGGGGTTACGGTTTTATACAGTGTTTATTTCAGATGTTTTCTGTCCAACCAGTTCTCTTTTGAAACTCGCTTTATTTTCAAGGAAATAATTCTTACATACCTTAAGGAATGTAAATAGACAATTTTTTATTTTTATAAGTGTGGTCCAATTTTCTTTTTTTTTTTTTTTAAGGTCAGAATGTAAATTTAACTTTTAGTTCCTATGCCAAATTTTAAATTGCCTTGTGAGAAATGGGGGTATGGCAAAGATAGTAGAACGGGAAACAGATGGCTGCTCATTATACAATTTAGTTAATGGAAAAAATGCCAACCTATGAAACAACCCCTACAAGTCAGTCTGCAGTTGACTGTTCTTTGAAAGGGAGGGAACGGGAGTCTAGAACATCATAGAAAAAAATGGGTTTTGTAAAGGTGAGCTTTTTCTGTCTTTATAGTATATCAAAGTAGATACAGGATCTTACACACAGTAGAGTAGACACAGTTTCTTACACATTGTAGACATATTTTTAAACGCTACGTATTTTTTTAAACCTTCCGTTTTTTCATGATTATGCATGTCTTTTGACATGTAAAATGTAGCTATTATGTGATATTTAGAAAATCTGTTTGCCATGGCAAGCAGTGTTACTTGATATCTATTAAATGCTTTTAAAAGTTGTATATTTTAGGTAAGAGGGAATTTTTTTGATATCTACCATATAGGCAGTGAGTAAGCCCTACAGCATCATTACCCTCATTTTCCTAGCAGTAAACACCGTGGTGTGTGTGTGTGCTAGTTTTAAGCGCTTTGCATATGCCATTGTATTTGAGTTTCACAACTGAAATTTTCACTGTTATTAGTACTGTTCTACAGATAGGGAGATAGAGACCAAGAAATGTTTAGAGAGTGGCTTTAGGTCACCCAAGTTGTGTATTTATATCACAAAGCCAAGATTAAGACAAACCTAGATCTTTCTGATCCAAAACTTCACTTTAAAACATTATTTTCTTTTTTAATTGGTACTGGGGATCGAACTAAAACTGTATGCTTGCAAGGCAGGTGCTTATGCCACTGAGCTAAATCCCCAGCCCCAACACATTATTTTCATAGCTTTCTGAAAGTAACTTTTGATACTTAGTAAATAACTACATCTACCAACTGTAAGATGTATTATCATTTTATATATCACTTCAAAAAAAAATCCCACAAAACTCCAAGTAAGTTGTGATGTGTTATTGATTCTGCAATGTGCCTCAACTACAGAAATATAAAACTGTGTCTTAAAATTGACAAGATACATTGGTTTGTCACTTGAGCATTTTCTTTTATTTTCTTTCTTTTTTGAGACGGGGCCTTGCTGTAGAGTTCACGCTGGCCTTGAGTTCACTATGTATCCCTCCAACTTATGCTGACCTCCAACTTATGCCTCAGCTTCCCAAGTGCTGGTGGCATGCACCACCATGCCTGGCCTCACCTGAGCATTTTCCCTTGCATATTGCCAGTAATTGACTTTGCTTATGTAAAACCATACATGTTTTGAATTTTGGTTTATTGAATTTATAAGTGTTTCCTTACTAAAGTCTTTTTTTTTTTTTTTTTAAAGTTCAGATTCTCCTTTAACTAATTATGTAGCCCAAGCTGGTCTTGAACTCATAGCACTTGCTGTAACTTTGAACTTGCTGTCTTGACCTCCATTGCATAGGTGTACATCACCATGTCTAGCCTAATATCTTAAAACACACCTATTTGATAGATTGTTTGGCTGTTGGAAGATAGGCTTTTATAAGGCTTAGAAATCTCAGCATTGTCCTTCAGTAATTATTAATACATCTAGATTAATCATTTCTGTCTGAACTCACATAACCAAAAATTAAAAGAGCATTTCATTAATTTCCTTGAGGAAGTAAACTGGCTAAGTTGGCTAGATTTTTATGATTACTAGTAAGTGGAGTTAGTGGATCAAAGAATAGGGTCGATTTCTTCATGTCTTTTTTTCATTTTATAACACATGTAATAAGTGCTTGCTATTAAATAGTTTGGGTGACTAACATGAATAATACTTAATTTTTCTGTTCCAAAGGCAAACAGCTTTAATTCTTTTTGAATGTGTGGTGTTGCCCGTTTAGAGTGTCTTCACTACTCTCCTTATCCTCCTCTCCCTGAACTCTACTAACCTACAACTTCAAGATGTGGGGGGTGGTATTTGTGATTTTTTTTTTTTTTTTGGTATTGTGACTCGAACTCACCACTGTGAGCTTGCAAGGCAGCCTCTTATACCGCTGAGCTAAATCCCCAGCCCTATGATGGGTTTTTAAGCCATGTAAATATCCCGCATCCTCATGGCAGTAGTCCAACATGGCAAAGTAGCCACAAAGAATACCTTATCAGACTTCTTCTTCCTGATTTAAGCCAGACTCCCTGTCTCTCCTTCCTGCGCATGCCAAGGATTCCCCAGTCCCCAGCCTGAGTACACTAACATGTAGCAATAATCCATCACTGTCATCTCACCAGACCCTTCCTCAAAAAAGGTAATCTTTTTTTTTTTTTTTTAATAATCCGTACCAGGGATCGAACTCACGACCGCCTGCTTGCAAGGCAGGTGCTTGATGCCGCTGAGCTAAATCCCCAGCCCCAAAAAGGTAATCTTTATAAGCGACCCCCAATTGTTTGTCCAAGAGGGTTCCCACATTCTCAGTGTGTAAATCTTTCCCATGCCTGCATTAAAGGTCTTTTTGCTGTTTTTTCCCCCCATTTCTGTGCCTTTAGATTGAGTCCCAAAAATAATCAATTTGTTGTAAAGTCATCTTCCTTCTTATGCATATATTGAATTACCGTATTGAGAACCTTTCCTTCATTAGGAGAGTTGATACTGAATCTTATTCACCAATTCTTCTGGTCTGTCATCATTCACCCCTTTCCAGAAATATGTCTATAGTAAATAAGTGTTGGTAGGACTGCCAGAGATACTTTAAAAATCCTCCCTCCAGCCCAGTTACTACACTGAAAATTCTTTTTTCAACCTAAAGGCTCTTTTTTGGTAGCTGGACTTTCAGAGCTTCATGACATGTTCATCTGGTACCTCAAACTCAGCATATCCCAAGCTTAAGTCATTATTGACTTGTTTATTCCTAAATGAACAAGAGTAGGGCATACTGGCTCTTTTCCATCTCATTTCTACAGAACAATTAAATTAGATAGTGCATGTGTGATGAGAATACAGTAAATAGTATGCACTACAAATATTGACTTGAAAGAAACATGGGCTATTTCTTACATACTGCTTTTTCTTTCACATTCTAGTTGATCTTTGAACCCTATTGAATTCCTTCTCGTTAGTGATCTCTTGAATCTGTTTACTTTTCTTCTTGTAGTGCTTGGAACTAAACCCAGGTCCTTGAACATGCTAGGCAAATGCTATAATGCTGAGCCACACTCCCAGCTGTTTTATTTTATTTTATTATTATTTTTAATTTCTTTTTTTCTGGGAATTGAACTCAGGACCTCACTCTTGCCAGGTAGGCACTGTGCTGCTGAGCTATATCCTTAGCCCCTATTTTTAAAATTTGAGATGTTTTGCTGAGTTGCCCAGATTGGCTTTAATCCGTGATCCTCCCACCACCTCCCAAATATCTGGGAATACAGGTATGCACCAACATTGTCAGTTAATCTGTTCTTTTGTTGGGGGAGGGAAGGGCTTTTTATTTTATTTTATTTTATTTTTTTGTCTTTTTCATTTTTATCGGTATCAGGGATCGAACTCAGGACTGCCAGCTTGCAAGGCAGGTGCTTATGCCGCTGAGCTAAATCCCCAGCCCTGGAGGGTCTTTTTAGAGACAGGGTCTCACTACGCAGTTCAGGCTGGCCTTGAACTTGTGTCTATAAGCCCAGGCTATTCTTGAACTCTCTATAGCCCAGGCTATTCTTAAACTCCCAGCAGTCCTCCTGCCTCAGTTTCCTGAGTATTGGGGATTACAGGTGTGTGTCACCATGACCAGCATTGTGCTTTTTCTTTATCCCTTTATCCCTACTGCTATCATCCATTGGTCAGTTTCACCTGTAGTTACCTCCACCTCCTGTCACCCCTCTCCCTTTTAATTGTAGCTGTAGTGATTTCTCTTGACACATTTGAGCATGCAGCTCTGCTGCTTAAGACTTTTTTGTATCTTTCCATTGCCTTCAGGATGTCTGAACTTAATTTGACTTTCAAGACTTTCAAAATTTGGCTTCTAGTTACCTTTTAGGTTCACTTTTGGTACTAGGAATTGAACTCATGACCTCGTGCTTGTCGGGCAGACACAAATAAATAAAAGGCTCATCCAATTCTTTTTTTTTTTTTTTCCGTACTGGGGATCGAACTCATG